TCCAACTTTGATTCTTTAGGATTGTTATTATCTTGCCAGAGCACGAGATTACATGTCACATAAATAACCACTTATTTGTTTTCCATAATCAACCAGGGACTTAGTGTCCATATATCACCACTAAGGGAACCTCATGCTGACGACTTAATATAGAAACGACTTCTTTTATATTTAATATACACTTGAGGTAAATAAAACTATAACTGAACCGAAGCACTGAAGGGAAATACATAAGCAATAATCAAAATCATAACTTAAAAAAAATAGAAAAAGAAAACGATACCTCGCAATTTTAATAAAGATATCTAGTTATGGAAGGGTGAATTTCGTAGTTAATTTCAACTGTGAAAGAGGGTTTTTGAGATAGTGATAATTTTGCATAATAACTCTTATGTCTTTACTTTTTTTACCCTCCTGATACTGAAATACCTTACAGGCTCTATCATGGTACGTTGTATGGTATTTTACACATTGCTCTGTACATTGAAGTACGGAAAATGTGTAAAACCATAAGAAACTGTACACCCTCTGCTAGTTATATAGACTTCAGTAAGTTCCTAAGAATAGATGTAAACCCCTTTCTTTTCATCACTAATAGCCCCCCTGTGGCAAAGCGGTACGTCGGCGGACTTACAACGATAGAAACCGGGCTTCGATACCCGTGGTGGGCAGAGCACAGATACCCCATTGTGTTGCTTTGTGTTTAACTTCAAACAAACAAATCATCACTAATAACTTTAAATATTTTAAGTGTTCGAATAATCATGTATTGTCTACTTTGCTTATTAATAGTTCCTCAAAGACATGGCTGTTATAGCTAAGCTTCTCACGTGTATAACAATTCCCATTTTCTAGTAACCTTTAAAAAGGAGTTCTTATTCTACATATATTTTTGTCTGCAATTCTGGCCAATATGTCCTTTGAATCATATATTGTATTGTGGTTTATATCCTCCATTTTGTGTGACTAGTTGTCTAACTAACTCATTCAGTTCTTCTAAACTATCATCTGGGAGAGCTGATGTTCCATATTACTTGACATGATGATCCCATAACTTCTACATGATGACTTCATAAGTTTATCTGCAAGTCTAATGAATTCGAGTTACACTGCCAACTGGAGAGCTTCCTTTAAAGATGTACACACACTTTGCTTCTGGCTTCCATATCTTCGTCTATTATTACATTTATAAATTGGTAAAGTGCCAATGTTGGCGGTGGGTGGTAATGACTATCTGCCTTCCCTCATGTCTTTCACTACTAAATTAGGGAAGACTAGCGCAGACGGCCCTCTTGTAACTTTGCGCGAAATTCAAAACAAACCAAACGCATCATGAAATTTAATTAAAGTTCTATTTTATTTTCATGAAAATTATTTTATTCCACACGTCGGTGTTGTAACATTTTCTATCATTGGATGTTTTTTTTTGTTTGTTTATTTGGCTAAAAATAATACCAATTCCAGTCCAAGTAACATGAACAAGTTTATTATTTATTCAATAACGTTTACTACAGGTAACTTCACTTTCACCTCAGTTGTAGGCCTGAGTTCACAAACAATGTTGCAACAGAAATCTAAAAATTAATGGTAAATACTCCTAATGTATTTATAAACTACTTGTATAATTGCCCCCCAGTGGCACAGCGGTATGTCTGCGGACTTACAACGCTAGAAACCGGGTTTCGATACCCGTGGTGGGCAGAGCACAGATAGCCCTTTGTGTAGCTTTGTGCATAAATTCAAAACAAGCAAGCAAACAAGCAAACTTGTATAATTTCTCAGCTAATCGATTTAATAATAGAATAAGCATGAGAATTCTCACTAGTAAGTCTGAACTAAGTAAACCAGTGATCTACTTACTGAATATTTCACTAACTTCTCATTCACAGATTTCCCGTATATGTATCACACTCCTGTTTCTAGTTGGGCTATGAAGCATCTCGGTTCTTAGATTTCATGAACTTTCTCGATCTGGGTATCATGAACCTTTTAGTAAACACCTGTATTAAAATATTGAAAATATAGCTTACAATAGTATTTCATTTATTGGTGGTTATCATATTAGTTGACCTCCTCTTAACCCTTACTAACAACTCAGTGACCTTGTTGTGGTAAGGAACCCAAGACTGAACAGAATACTCCAAATGTGGCCTATACAATAAAATCATGACTTCTTTAGACTTCAGTACTGTAGATACAACCTAAAATCCTGTTTGCACTCTGCTTAGATGGCGAGGCTTATCAACCAAAACACAAAGATTATTTTCTTCCATAACACTATTAAGGTTATTCACATCTGAATTACACTTATAATTTAAATTATGATAACCCACATGCATACCTTACATTTATTATGATTAAATGCCTTTTGGCATTTAAGGTGTCGGATGTGCAATATACTGAACTGTGCAATATTTAAAATGTGATAATTAAGAGGTACATATTATTCTGTGAAACATAAGATATGATTATTGAAATGGATCTGTGATGTACATTAAGTATCTGTAGTGGCGTGGTGGTCAATCAATCATTGTCAACTTGAGACTAGAGGTCCTGGTGACTTACCTAGTACAGCATCAGTCTTAGAACACTAATGTTAGCTAGGGATTCTTTCAACCATTTGATATTGTTACAATATCTCCATAAAACAAAAAAGCAGTTCTGTTAAGCAGTTCACCAGCAGACTCAGTTATCACCAAAACTATTCGTAAATTCATTTGACACTTCTGTTTCCCGTTTATATTTTTGTTTATGAACAAAGTTAAATGTGAATGAATGTTGCTTATTATATGTATAACCTTATTAGTACAGATATTAAAACATCGTATACGAGTAGAACTGATGTAGAAACACCTGCATATTATTTGACTCAGTATAAATTTAAATTCTTCAGTGTTACCATTGGAAATATAACCATTTTTTACTTTTCAATAATAATTAAATAATTTATTTTAGTTGGATGTATTCAAGATCAATTAATTTCTAAATTTCCATGTAGGTGTTTAGCATATAGTTATTACATATTTCAAAATCTGGATTTGGGAAGGTCGTGAAATTTTACCTTAGACAAAGATTAGGTACTAAACGACTGTCTCATAGGGCTTGTACTTGTTTGGCCCTGTTTCTGTGTCATGCCCTTTTGGAGTAAGGTCACACTCATTCTGAGGGGTGGCACAGAGACTTCTATACGTTCATATGACTTGGAACTGTATCTACCTTAAACATGTATGATGAGAACGATCACTGACATGTGTAATCTGAGTATTGTGAGATATATTGCACTAGGACATTGTTCTGAATCTACACTTTGGTAACTTCTTGAACCTTCTATTCATCTTTGCTCTGTACAAACGTTTGGCTTCTTATCTTGCTCCAGCAGCTCGAAAGTAAGAGCTAACTAGAAAGCTACAGTTTGTCTTGTATGAATAAATAATTTGTGTTATTTATAGACCAGCTCTTATTTTTATATTTCGTTCGCAATCCATGTTCACAAATGTCGAGGCTTGGGATGAAGAGTTTACATTATTTTGTAACATAGAATTACTCTGAAATTTCAAACCTTTTGATAAATTTCCACGTAAAACATACAAATTCTAAACTGTTTTCAAAAAGGAAGGATATGAGAAGCTGTTTCTCTGTTAGTAATTAAGTTATTGTAGCTTATATAGTGAGGGAAGCTGTGACTTGATGGTTAACGTGCTAGAAATTAATAGAAAGAATCAAGGATTGAGAGCAAGTATGCCACTGACTATGTTCTGCATTTACAGCTATAGTGCCCTCATAACTATGACTGTATTTCAGTCCTAACATTTTGATTAATGATGAATGCAACTGTCAAGTTACCCTCCATTTGGTCAGCAGTTCTGAATTAGGGATGACAAAGCCTGAACTATTCTGGTCTCTGATCTGGCTATTTAGCCCAGGTGTGTGTTGTATAAAATGCTTTTTAGGATGAAAATGCCAAAGTGTGCGTCTAAATTTGAACAGTGTCTAAAAGTTGAAAAACTCAAATAGTTTAATTTCAAATAATATTATCCTAAGTAACGCTAATTTCTCAAAAAGGTTTCCTAAGCACCTCACACTACACGCTGGTAGAAAAGTAAGTCTTTGTATTAGATAAACACTAACTACGTGTATATACCTTCCCAATTGTTGTAGTTCAGAAAAAAAGATGAATCATATCGAATATAAATAACTATAGCTATGAACGTTTAATTTGTCCTATGTGAGAATTAGGTATCAATACATTTATCCGAGAAAAATAAATCATTCTAAAATATTATTAATTCTGGAGATCTAATGTGTAGTTATTGGTGCTAATATACAACTGGTTATAGATATAGTAGCAAGATCATTCAAAATTTATGTAAGCTTGCATGATAACTTTACTAAACTTTGTTCTCAATTGGATTGATCTTACATGTAACTAAATTTAGAAATGAAATACATTTACTGTGGTTAAGCTTGTATAGACGAAGCTTACAGTGCAGAAATTATCATAACAACATATAGTTAGAAGTAATTGTCTAAAGTTAATTAGCTGGATAAAAACTGTTTATCCAAGGAATATTGGTAAATGTATTTTATTTCATCGTTTTCCAGGTTTAGAACAGTAAATGATGTTTAGGTGGATTGTGGTGTTATTTCTAGAATGTTCCCTTTCAACCTTACCCATTATTTGTTCGTAATGTGAGCTTACAAAGTTCAGTGTTGTTAGCTTGTTGCTGTAAAAATGAGCTTTGCACTTTGGGGCTGTGGGTATGATATAAGATTAATGGTGAAATACCACTGCTTGGTCAGACAAGAGAAGTCCAATAAGCAAAAATGAAATAACAAAAACTACAGCGTTTTCAACCAAGGAATAGTGGCAGATGTATTTAACTGTTGCCTAGATTTATAATAGTAAATGATAAATTCAATTCCTACTAATCTGATTAGCCTTCTCATGATTATATGTATGTTTCTTCTGAGGAATCTAATTTCTGTTGTTTTTTTCATAGATAGCATCTTTGTTCAGGCCATCATTGTTAAGAAAAGTGGAAAATTTGACTGTTTTGTCTTTCAAGTAAGTTATATTGGTATTACTCACTATAATTAACTCAAAAACGTTGTAAACTTTTTAATATATTCCTTTTTTTATTAATGAGCTCACATAACTTGTTTATCGTAGTTATGATATCACAGAAGACAGTAAGACGAGGGGTTGGGTGCAAACACTAAACACATGTTTTTGATGAAGATAGGTATCATCAATGGATATCGTTTATATTACTTTAACAATTCACAAACAGTAACGGATGACAGCCGTGTATATATGTGTGTGTGTGTCCCGGTGGGACAGCGGTAAGTGACAGACCTCCAACGCTAATATCCGGAGTTCGATTCTCGCGATAGACACAGCAGATAGCCCAATGTGTCTTTTCTCTAAAACAAATATGTATGTGTGTGTGAAAATACAACGTTTCTTATGGATGCACGCGCCAACAAATTCTGTAACAAAACTGTAATAAAATATCGTACAATTATAGAACCCACAATGTCTCAGCTCCTAATCTACCCTACTATATCCTAACATCTCAGCTCCTAACCTACCCTACTATATCCTAACATCTCGGCTCCTAACCTATCCTACTATATCCTAACATTTCAGCTCCTAACCTAGCCTACTATATCCTAACATCTCAGCTCCTAACCTACCCTACTGTATCCTAACATCTCGGCTCCTAACCTATCCTACTATATCCCAACATTTCAGCTCCTAACCTAGCCTACTATATCCTAACATCTCAGCTCCTAACCTAACCCTTATTGAATCTGTAGCTTGATTATGTCTGGTAGACTAAATATCGCCAATGTATTTGAGTGCTGTGGCCGCAAACATTTTTACTTTAAAATGATGCCATTTGTACTTGTGTATAAAATATATAATTTTACGTTATTTATTTATTTATTTTACAGTTTTGCTGGCGCGATCATGTAATTTTTAGCGTGTACATCAATAATAAAAATGTTGTATGTTTTTACATAGTTATCTTGTCAGTGCTCTGCAGAGTTGGATAGTTGTTCAAACTCATGGCTATATAACGGGGGTTCGGCAAGACATCGTACGAAGTAATTCTGAATTTTTCTTAAACTGACTGAATAAAACGGAATAAAACAATAATAATTCAAACTCGCAAATACAATCAAAGCAACGTCTGAATTGGACACAGAATGATGCCTTCAGTATTAAGATATGCAGGCATATTCGTATATTTTCTACCAGTTCGAGTTATATATGGATCTTTAAACGTGATCAAGAAAGTAACTGAGATTGCCTTGTTTTAATTGCTTTGTTTCTTTGATCTCTATAGTTGATAAATGTTTATTCTGCCAAAGAGGATATTGCAGTAACATATATCACGTGAGCTGAAAGGATTAGTAACTGTATTGTTCTTTGCTGGCCGAGTTGACATCGTCTGAATGTTTATAGCCAAGCAGTACTGTGAGAGGACAAAAGTCATAAGGTGACGTTTTTGACAGGACTAAGAAAACATGCTTTCGTGTTGAATTCAGGTGTGCTTTCTTGATTCAGTTGTACTTGGTTTTCATTGTGAATAGTTCAGCAGATATTCATCTCGAGGGATGGAAAGCTGATTCAATAGAGGCGGTTGTCCACGAGTCTACACAGATACGCAGTTTTTTGTCTAAATAAAAACTGATTTTACTGTCCATCAAATGTGCCCAATCTTTTTATTTCTCAAGCAACTTAAAACTAAGTCAAGTTATTCAAGACAGATTACTCTCCTTATTTCTTTATCGAATCTTCTGTTATTAAGGGTATAAATATCTGATACTTAATCAGTTCACCTGAAAATATCACAGTATTACATACAAAATTCTATGATGCTATGTTCTCAGAACGCAACCATAATTATGTCACTATCGATTAATCACATTGAAACGTAACGTAGGTAATAACTTCGAGATATCACCTGACTGCCCAATGGAGAAAAATATTGTTGACTTCAGTAAAAAAAAAGTGCAATAACAGGTGCCATACCCCCTATCCCACCCATCACGGGTAGGAATTATTTCACGGAAATGACAAAAAACAAAGATAATTGAGCAAATTCAACGTAACAACGTGTTATGTGAAAACTGAATTAACAAAATATAAGTGAACAATTCTACATGAAATAAAAATACATAAAACGCTTGGCATGTCTACATAAATGTACACATCAAACTTCTTATCCATAAAGCCAGCTTATTAATTTTAGGTTGTTTACTCAAAATTATTTAATTTTGCAATCTTAAAAACTATCTTGTTGACAAAATTTGTAAATTTGATTATACACCATCTGTTCATAGAAGGTCATGTTTTACAGAAAATAATCTGTATTAATTTGGCTATACAGAGAGTTGAGTATGTCATTTTAAAACAGGTTTAGTCTCCCCACATTTTAACAGCTCATGTTACCATCTCTAACCAAACTATATCTGATCACTGTGCATCTGTTCATAGTAGGTCATGTTTTACAGAAAATAATCTGTATTAATTTGGCTATACAGAGAGTTGAGTATGTCATTTTAAAACAGGTTTAGTCTCCCCACATTTTAACAGCTCATGTTACCATCTCTAACCAAACTATATCTGATCACTGTGCATCTTCTCAATTGCTCTGCACCATCAGGGCCTGACATTGCCTGGTGTTTAAGGTACTTGACTCACAATCTGAGAGTTGCGGGTTCGAATCTTCTTCACCGAACATGCTCGCCTTTTCTAGCCGTGGAGGCGTTATAATGTGACGGTCAGTTCGTGGTGTTGACTTACTGTGGATTTAATGACGGCTAGCGCAGATAGCTTTCATGTAGCTTGGCGCGAAATTGTTTGTTTGTTTACTATTAATTTCGCGCAAAGCTACACGAGGGCTAATCTGCGCTAGTCGTCCTTAATTTAGCAGTGTAAGACTAGAGGGAAGGCAGCTAGTCATCACCACCCACCGACAACTCTTGGACTATTCTTTTATCAACGAATAGTTGGATTGACCGTCACATTATAATGCCCACACAGCTGAAAGGGCGAGCATGTTTGATGTTACCGGGATTCGAACCCGCAGATTGCGAGTCGAGCGCCCTAATCACCTGGTCATGCCGGGCCGCGCGAAATTAAAAACAAACCAAACCAAGCTCTGCACCATGAGTTCCATTTCAAACTCTGGTGTAAGACACAGTTTGACAAGCAAAAATCCTTTAAAAATACTGTAGTTGCAACGACAAATATATTGAAACATCTTTAAACTAAATTTAAATTATCATAGTTACCACATAAGCAAAAATATAGAAAAATGTTACAATACATATCATTTAAGATATAACTGAAAAGTTACAATCACATGAGACAACAAATGCTCTTTAACATTAGTATGGGAAACTAAATCACACAACTAAACAATACAAAATTAAACCTATAAAACGGCAGTCTTAATAAAACGTAAAATCATACACAACATTATTACACTTTACCATAATAAAACACGTTAAATCAAGGAAATATATAATACAAAATGAAACCTCCTTACTGAAAACTACGGACAAAATGTGAACATTATATAGTATACAAATTCGAAATTTCAATTCACTATTTAACTAAAAGAAAGATGCCATAAATATTTACAAAATATACACTTACCTAAATGGTCAGCAAAGAGGTCCAACTTTCCCTCAGTCTTACTTGAGTCCTGACAATAGGTCCACTAAAGCAGCCATTGATCTTCTATTGGTTGGTTCCATATCGTGGATCATTGTTTGGGTCCGGGCCAAAGGCCACCTTGTTTGATTCTGTGTTCTTCTGTGTTGGTTGATCTCTTCTTCCAACCAGGAAGGTGGCATTATAACCAGTCCTCTTCCCGGTTGTATACAGCCCATGCCTTTGTCCCTTTGATGAGCATTTTCTGGCAATGCTGCTTTAGAAGTTGTAATTTACATAATTGTCAGGATTACAGTGACAGAGGTTGGTGAGATCGCTTTTGGATCAACCCTCAGCTGTCACCAATATAGTTCTTATGACCACTTTGGTGGTTGCAGTTTCATCTATGCCTCTTTAGTTTTTAGATACAAAGGTGGCAACCCTCTAGTTTACCTTCAATATTCTGATCTTCGATTTTAGTCTAGATAGGCAGCAATACCTTTGTACTCATCTATTGTTGTTGCCCTTTCTCACAGCAACCTTGAGGTGACCTTAATTCTGGAAAAGTCTTCTTTGGCTTCAGGATGTAATGATTTCATCAAAGTTGAGTGTACACATAATAATGTTGCACTTTGTTATCAGATATCTTCCAACAGGGCATTATAGCAGGGTCTTTCAATACCGAGATTCTATTTCTTATTGCCTGTTGTTATGATTGTTTAATACTGAGCTGCTAGAAAGCTTCTAATAATGGCATGGAGGTAGTATCATCAGATATGTCAACATCTCTACCCCTCTGTCTGATAAGGGCTGTGGTGCAAGGTGTTGGTCTACTCTGACAAACATGATTTGTCATTTGGAGATTTCAACCCAATCCAATGGCTAACTCAGCAAGGTCCAGAATATCTGGTATGTCAGCCAGCAATATATCTTCATCCAATGGCTGTACCAAGTTGAATTTTAGGTTAGCTCACGCGCCCTCTGCTTAATGCAGATATCCAGCTTCTAACTAGATATAAAGTCCCTGTCATCAAATTGACTTCCTTTTCCAAGACCTTTGGAGATTCAGCTCTCATGAAACAAAATCCACTGGCTAACTAAAGATGAAATAGCTAGATGGGTGAATAATTTGTTCTTAAATGTCAAAGATCTTGATTTTGAAAAAAGTCTGTGAAATCTAATTGGTCAAAGAATCAACCAGGTTTGTAGATTGAAAGAGACTTTTAGAGGTCTAGTAACACGTGAATTAGCTTGGTCAGGTGACACTTTGAACATGTATCCTCAGTGCCAGTGAACTGTTCACTTCATACACCTCACTGGATTTTCGCTTCATCAGTATGTATATGGCCATGCTGCCCTTTATTCTCATGACAATGAACAGCATGTTTACTGTTCAATTTTATCCTACACTGTAGATGATCCAAATTAGTAAACACAAACCTTCACATTTGACCATAAGCAAATAATCAATATTTCCCTTGTCTTTACTTAGGGTCCTTTTTTAAATTACAAGTTGAGCATTAGCAATGGCGTGAATTACAATGTTTCACCACTTTGGTGTCACTTTCAGCTCCCCTAGTCACCTTACAACCTGCATTTTCGTGTAACTCTTACTGCTTTTTGTATTGAAACGATGTTAAGAAAATATTTAGAAAATTGCATGTTTGTTTTAAACATTTCAATTTGAATGACTGAAATTATTCTCTCACAATCAACTAAAACACTGCATGCACCAAAGGTGTATTTATTATAACATTTAAACAATTGTCTACGAATTTCATATATTACTAATAATTTACTCACTCAAATATTTTAATATGATGCAATTGAAATATCTTGCATTATTCTTATCGTAAAAAAACAGTAAAACTGTTCTCTCTCAGTTACTGTTATCTTTCAATGAAACTTTACTACCTGTGGTATATTCCAATGTCGAAATTGAAACATCCTCTCTCCAGTATTCCAGGCGGTTAGGGCACTCTACTCCCAATCTGCGGGTAGCGGGTTCGAATCCCCTTCCACCAAATATGCTAGCCCTTTCAGCCGTGGGAGCGTTATAATGTGACAGTCAATCCTACTATTCGTTGGTAAAAGAGTAGCCCAAGAGTTGGCGGTGGGTGGTGACTAGCCGCCTTCCCTCTAGTCTTACACTGCTAAATTAGCGACGATTAGCACATATAGCCCTTGTGTAGCTTTGCGCGAAATTCAAAACAAACAACAAACTCTTCATTCATAAATATTTCAACTATGTGATCATCCCAGCCTATCTTAGGTTCAAACCAATCTATGGTGATTAGGATGTCGGCGGCTCTTTAGACTGTTGGGACTGAACTGAAACTTCTTCATATGTCTCATCCTGAACACCCAAATAAGTCCTGTCTGCTCTTTCCTTCTTATCATCAGTGCCAAATTGATATAAGGCAGTGCTTTCTTCTTCACTCGACTCATCTGACTCTTCATCAACCCAATGCACAAGAAGTTCATTGATCATGTATGATACAGTTGATGAGTACGAACTACACACTTATGCGCACATTTTTACTGCTGTAACTTGTACATTAGTGGACTGACTTGTTGGAGCACAATATGGGGTCTAAAACAACCAGTCAAAAGGCTTCTATGCTACTGGTGGCAAACACCAAAGCAGCAGCCTCCACTTTGATACATTGGTTCTTTCATTGTCTTATCATAGCACCTATTCTTCTCATATGGTAGCCTTTCGTAGCTTTTGAAGTACAAACTAGTGAACATCAACTAATGCAGA